TGTGTGTGTGTGTGTGTGTGTGTGTGTGTGTGTGTGTGTGTGTGTGTTAAAGGAGTGTGTGTTAAAGGAGTGTGTGTTTTATCACGTTTCACATGAATGTGTGCTTGTGGTTCCGGAAACATAATCGGACACACACGCGCATGCAACCTCTAAAAGCAAACAGACAAACTACGCCCTGCTGCAGTCGTTTTGCACACTTCCATGCAGCTTTGTTGAGCAGCTCAGTTTAAATAAGAATGCCTTTTTCCACAAAGACCTATTCGTTGCAGGTTTTTTTTTTTTTTTTTGCCAACCACTGAGGAGATTGGTGCAAAAATTTGCGACATGTATCATCTTTCTTTTGTTTTTTTTATCAGAGTACAGTAATGTGGGGGTGACTGTAGTGTCTGGAGACAGACAGATTGTTTCCGAGGGTCGATCAGCCCGTGTTTAAATGCCAAAGCCCCGTGACGAACTCGTGCACGATACAGGATGACACAGGTAGTAATGTTAGATAATCACTGCAGAATCTATAAGAGCATCTACCGGTAATCTGTTTGAGGACAGTGAACACATGAAACCGCACCATCCTGCAACCTCGTAGTAAGCCTCGAATACGTAACAGACATTATCAATGCAGCGTGTGAGTTCAACAGGGAATGTCTCTTTCTGAACATCCAGCCGCGTTTTCACAGAAATGACAGAGGGATGTTGTTTTATAGAGTCTCCTCCTCGTGTGTGTCCAGAAGTCAAACAGTCAGACGTCGCAGCAGAGGAACTGTCCGCCTCATAGATGTGACTGACCAGATGATTCTCATGATGGGGTCAGTGCGGGGTTTTGCGTGGTCGTTACTCAGACCTCTGTTGTGCTGGTTATCTTGTGTCTTGGCTACAGGATCATGGTCTACTGTAGCACCACAGGATCATGGTCTACTGTAGCACCACAGTGGATTCCAATGAAAAAAAACAGCATTCTCCTTCTCAAGAGAATAAATAATCATTAGGGCTGCAATTAACAGTTATTTTCATATTCGATTCATTTGTCGATAGTTCCCTAGATTAGTCGAGTAATCATTTGGTTTATACAATTTCAGAAAATAGTCCATCCCAAAAGTCCAATGTCTCTAAATGTCTTGTTTTGTCAGTCAAAAAACTCCAAAGATATTCATTCCAATAGGATATAATACAGCGAAAAGTACGAAATCTCCATATTTGAAAGGCTGAAAAACTAAATGTTCTGCCATTTTTGCATGAAAAATGACTGTAAAGGTGCATAATTCAATATGCAAGGCATTAATGTAGCAGCAAACAACTATTTGCAATGTATAAAAATATAGTGGAGAAATGGCTACAGAGAATTAAGTCGCTCTCCCTCTGTGAGTGTTGTTATCAGAGCTTCTCCATGCTTTGTTAATCGGCTAACCCCGCTGGCTAGAGCAGCACTTGACGAGCTCCACCGGCTAGCTAATTACCGCAACTGCACTGCCCTCAAACAGCGGTTACCCCTCATAATGCCGCCCCCCCCCCCCCCCAGCTTGACACTGTCCGCTCTGTTTGTGCTGCTAGCACCGTTAGCTGCTCGCCATCCGCTCAGCCGTCGCCACAATCTCTCGATCATAGACACGTCTCTGTATTTGAAATTCAGGACCTTGAACGATTAATCAATTATCGAAATAGTTGCCGATTTATTTTTCTCTTGATCGACTAATGGATCAGTTGACTAATGGTTGCAGCTCTAGTAAACATAAACCCAAGCGATGCGTTACACAACTGCACAAAGCTGTTGGAGAGTTGGTGTGAGCGATAGTGAGTCGAATCTCTGAGTTCTTGCCCATCAAATGTATATTCTTATCAAGAATTTAACTGGTAAATTGCTAAAAAAAAAACTAAAAAAAACGGCAGTGTGAGATCAAAGTTATGCATGAAAACACCAATCAAAAAACAACGTTCTTTATTGGTTCACTTTTTCCAGTGACTGAGGAGATACGTGGACACCACTCACTGCTTTATGCCTGCATGGTAACGATATGCTGAGAGGGAGTAGTCAGTATTACATGAGAACATCTCCTGCTGGGAGAATGCCAGTCACATCGGGCATGTCTCTTGAAAGTCACCTCTCAGCTTTGACTGTGTGTGTGTGTGTGTGTGTGTGTGCGTGTGCGTGTGTGTGCGTGTGTCATCAGTTGCTCCACGGAAGCAATTATGCACACACACACACACACACACTCTAAGCCACCAGCTTCTTGGATGCTGGAATCCCCTTTGAGTGGGACGCTCCTGAACACAGAGAATGGTGTAGTGGCGTATTGACAAAGACAATAAGTCATCCCGAGATCTTTGCGAATGGATGTGTGACATGCGGGGGGGGGGGGGAGCTTTGGGGTTATAGAAGCAGCAGACAGACAGGCCCTTTGAGCAGGACTGCTGCTGCCTTCCTGGAGGTAGAGGTGGCTGGCAGGGCCCTGCTTTTCTCACTGGCACTCAAACTCTGGGCCTCACAGATTGGCACCTTGGGGGTAGGAAGTGGACAAGTACAGCAAGTACTGTAATGTGGAAAAAGAACACCTGGACTGATTTTCTAACAGGCTGCAGTGGAATCTAACATTCACTGGCAACAGAACCGGAAGATATAAAAGAGGTATGTTGAAATACGGACACGTTAGATAAGGCTTTGACATGGCAGCATCAACTGCGGCTGATACAGTACAGAGCAGTGGAATCACTAAGCTGGCCTCAGCACTGCCAAACGCTTCAAACCCCCACATATGTATACAACTTGTTTTCTGCAAAAAGGAATGCAAAACACTGCTACCCATGCAAGTGAAGGCTCACATCCTCAGTGTGAAAACATTGTAATGAAAGATGTTCAAAAATACAAGAAACACTGGTTCCCTCACAACTCTGTGCCACAGAAGGGAAGTGATTTCCTGCCAGTAAACAGCTGCTGTGGATGGCATTGTGAACTCCAAGGCTGTTGTTACTATTAGTCAACATTCATTTCCATTGGTTCTGCTGATCCTGGTTCAGATCATGTTGTCGTGGTTTGAGTTTACTGACTGCAGAAGGTTTCCAATCAGGTGGCCAGATGATGGATGAAGGTGTCCCTCAAGGACCAACACTCGGCCCCCCGCTATTTACTCTCCAACTGACCACTGCAATGTCCATTTTAATGCTGACAAAACCATCCTGTTTGACATCTCCACGTCAAACCTTCTGCAGGTCACAGACCTGTGTTAAAGGAACACTTCACCCCCAAAATGACCATTTGTGTATCAATTACTTGCCCCATGTTACCTCGAGTTCCTGAAGAAAACATTATTTTTCCCGCATGCCTCCACAGTAAACAAAGAATCAAAAAACGGAGGAGAGTCTTGATGAATTGAAGTGAATGGTGGCTGCAGTTTAGCAACAGCAGAACTTTATCAAAACATCTGTTTGATCCAAGGCTGTTACTGCTTCACAAGACGTAAAGACTTTTCTCCGTTTTTTTTACTCTTAGTTCACCGTGGAGGCATGCTATAGAAATGAAAGGCAACACATGGTAACTGATATACAAATGGGCACTTTGTGGGTGAAGTATTCCTTTTAAGCCCCTGTGATTTGTGATGTTGGGCCTTATAGATAACAGTGATTTAAAGCGTTTCACTCTAATCTTAAGTTTCTCCACTCAACACTACCCCTAAACCACTGAATGGTGTTTACATAAGACAAGACGGCTGTCACGCATCACCATGAGTTACATAAAAATGTCTGACGTCTACGGGCCTCATTTTCTACGAGACTTCTTGAATAAATGAAGGTGAAGTGATCTCCGCCACTGCAGTTTCCTCTTCTGCATTTTTAACATTCCTTTCTTTTCTTTTGTGTCCCAGTTGTTACTCTGGATGAGAGCCACGAGACAGCTGTGTTCATCTGTTTCCTCTCAACTGTCCCTTAGATGAAGCACGTGGAGGAGCGCTTTGGACCGGATGCCAGTAAAGAAGTTCTGCTCATGTGCATCGGCATCACGTCCGGCGTGGGCCGCCTCATCTTCGGCAGGGCGGCAGACTACGTTGATGGAGTCAACAAAGTCTACCTGCAGGTCAGTGCCAGGAGTTTAAGGAAGCAGACTTTACTTTCCGGCTCTTACATTACTGATTCAACCAGTATGGCGTGACCGCAATTTTGAAGACGTTGAAAAGCTCATTTTCGTATATTAAAGCTGCTTGTAGTCACCAATTCATGCTAATATTCAAAATATTTAAAGTCCAACTGAAATGCATTTTTTATATTTAACATTGTTTTATACTGCAAAAAGGAATTCCTCCAAAACAGCCATAGATGATCAAGTACCACATAAAGATGATTAAACCTTCAAATTACTGATGTGGATTTAACCCCTCCCCCTGTCCCTCCAGGTGACCTCCTTCTTCGTCATCGGCCTCATGTCCATGATGATCCCTCTGTGCAACATCTTCGGCGGGCTGATCGCCGTGTGCCTGCTGATGGGACTGTTCGATGGCTGCTTCATCTCCATCATGGCCCCCATCGCCTTCGAGCTGGTCGGGGCCGACGACGTCTCCCAGGCCATCGGCTTCCTGCTGGGCCTGATGTCCGTGCCCATGACCGTGGGACCCCCCATCGCAGGTAATGCAGGAGCCGTGTGTGGTGCCGTCGTACTGAATATGTTTAATTAGGCTTTCCCTGCTGTGATCAGCAGAATGTTATACTTTGTTGGTACTTTTGTTGTTTATTACATCACCATTATTACACCATTGTAAAGCACAGAAAATGTTTATTTTCATGAATACTAAATCATACAATAGAAAAAGGGAAGTAGGTAGAAAGTTGTCATTTCCATGAGTCAAATGAACGCGTTATACATTTTGTCCATCTTTTAATGACTAATCTGTGTATTTGTCTTTGTAGTGAAGTCAGTCTTTCCATAATTATTGTGAATCTCATTCATATTAGATTCATATCACTCATAAAAATATATACCGCTATTTCTTTCAGAAGGTCTCACGAAAGGATAAAATCAAATTTTACTTTTCTACTGAAGATGTCATTTTATAATAACAATAGTGGCCAATCCTGTGAACAGACCCTCAGCATCCTAGTGCAGCTCTTGGTCCCTGTCCTGAGAGAAGAGAATATCATACTTCTCTTCGGCACCTCCTAGTGTTTATTTGGGCACCTTGCAGTTTTGGCGCTGCTGAAGCACAAACCTCCTAATGTTTCAGAAAGCAGGTTATTGTCAGCTTTGTGAAATGCATGTAAGAAGCTTTGCATGAGAGGTAAACATAATAACAAGAATAATAATGACTTTATTTACAGAGCACTTTTTTATAAATGATGTAGCTCAAAGTGCTTTACAAAAAATATAAAAACGCATTCAAACAAAAGCAGATAAAGGATAAAATTAAACAAAAAGCTTACATTCTAAAATATATGTCAATAAGTGAAATTTAAAAAAAATTTAATTGAATAAAATTTGAGAATTAGTAAGAAAAATTCCATAATTGATAAGACAAATGAAATCTATCCATCCATCCATCCATGCATCTGCTCACAGGTTTCCTGAGGGACCGACTGGGTAGCTACGACGAGGCCTTCTACCTGGCCGGCATCCCCCCGATCGTCGGAGGAGCCCTGCTGTGTCTGATACCCTGGGTGGAGGCCCGGCGCAAGAGGAGGGAGAAGGAGGAGGCGCTGACCAAGGACCAGGGTGTCACCGAGAAGATGATGGAGCACGAGAAGTCTCAGGAAGCCGCTCAGAGCAGAAGCGGAGAGTCGGTCCTCTAAAGGCCCCGCTGAGCAGACTTAAAAGAGAGACACGCGGGGTCAGACTGAGGCTGCTGGGTACCGACATACAGTGGGAGTAAGATTGCAATGACTGCCTTCAGTAGGAGAACGTGCCAAAGAAACATATCAGATAGAGTTGAAGTCCAGCTTAACGTGAATGTGAACCTGAAGAACTATGCATTAGATTGTTTGACTGAACTAATCTTAACAGGCAAACTTGAAGTTTTAAATGGAAATTGAGACCGTTTCAGTTTTGTGTTTGTGTTGCTGTGCTGACTAAGTGCAGTGTAACAGCTGGTCATGCACATCTTTAGCCAGTGTCTCTTTCGGATGGCATTCTTAAGGGAAGGGATTCTTTACAGTCAGTTTTCAACACCACCATTTTGTTTTTAGATGTAGAAATGTGGCATAAAATAAAGAACACATGTCGGGTTATACAAGACAGGAACGCAGTCATGTGGGGGAACATAACTTGACTTGGACTTTACATATTTGCTCTGCGTCAGTGCAAATCAAACTGGTCTGCTAAAGATTTCTCCTCAAACCTGCCATCTTTATTGTTGCTTAAAGCCAAATATGTTGCTACTGTCTGGGAGTATTCTGTTCATAGTATTTTAAAAAAAAAAAAAAAAAAAAAAAAGGGACATTCAGAGTGCTCTGGGAGATTTGGAGGTTAGTGTTGGTCGTGAAGTTCTGGGATCATCCGAGCCGTACAGGTGCCCGCACACTTCAAGGGAAGCCGCTCTATGATTTTACATCCTTGTCTGAAACTGTTTACGCATCATCTCACGACAAGGAGCTCCGTCCACCAGGCTGCGTTCACCTTTTTATACAATGGGATAGATTACCAACTGGGCAAGACCCCCAAATGCTCCACGGTCACCGTGTGGCGATTGACGGCACATTAGTCTGGTAGCTCTGTGTGCACCGCTGAAGCACAGTATAAACCGAAATGATTGGGCCCTTGAGGAGACACCTGCTTTATGACGTAACATCGAGGTCCCCATGTGTGCAGGGCTCAAATCCACCTTTAAGGCGTTCATTATTTAAGTTTATATTAAGCTTCCATGTTGTATAGTCCCATATAAAGTGTAGCTTAAATCTTATTATTATTATTATTATTATTATTATGAAGTAATACAAAGACAATACACAGGGAGTGGGAGGAATAGAGGCCCCGGGGCCCCATAGAGGGTTCATCGGGCCCTGATTGTACTGTGATTGATTCACACAAAGCGGCTGCTTGTAACCGTGTGCCTGAACATACCTCGCCAGTGTTCAACCTTCATGTCTTTAAAGGAACAGTTCGTCATTTTGGGGAAATGCGCCTGTTCGCTCTCCTGCCGATGGTTAGACGAGAAAATCCCTACCACTGTCATACCTGTTCATTAGATGTATATAAAACCAGTGGGTTAGCTTAGCTTAGCATCAAGCCTGGAAACAGCTGGGAGGGCTCTGTCCAAAAGGTAACACATCTTCAACTTCCAGCTCCTCTAAAGCTCACTAGTTCTATGTTTGATCCCATCAGGGGATGGAAGCGAATTTCCCAAAATGTCAAATTATCTTTAGCTTAAAATTATCTATTCAGTTAGGAACCTGAATGTAGATACACAAGAACGTCCTGACATTGTGTTTGTGTATGTCTGTTAGTTGACTGTAGTATTGACATGGCGGTGAGACTTGTTTTCTTTTCTCTCTGTAGTTTGGTCGTATGTATGTGTGCATGTATGTATGTATGTATGTATGTATGTGTGACATATATTTACAAAGTGCTGCCTCTGGTTAAAGTGGGGAAAAGCCCTCATATGCTTCCTGGTATGTAAAGGAGAATAAAGTTTGCCCAGTAGCTGACGCAGTCCAGGTCATAAAACAACCGTTGCCATGTGACCCCTTAAAAAGGACCAAAAAACACGGTGCATCTGTAGCTCCTCGCCTCTTTATAAAAGTCTTATTACACATTAATCTTTTGACTTCGAGACCATCAGTCAGTAAAGTCCAGTTAATCATTCAATCTGTGTCTGGGTCGTTGGCCTCGGATAGAGAGCTGCTTGTTTCATGTTTTCATATTGTATTTATTTTTTTGTGGAGAATGTCGTGCTGCAATAGACGGGCATTTGCCTCGAGCCTTAAATTTGATTTACCTGAAGACCAAAAACATTGTACAGAAATGACAATGGCTGAACGTGTGTTGGTCCTGTTTGCTTGCCGTACGTCTCCCTAAAGCCACAGGTTGTCTGTCAGGAAGTCTCCGATCCGTCCGTCACTCTTCACACTCTGCGTGATGCATTAGAACTGGATTTCTGTGTTTTTTCTGTGTCCCCCCCCCCTCCATACCTTGTGACACTCTATACCCCGTGTAGAGCTCTGTACTCGTCCCTGTTCCTCCATCAGAGGCAGTCCAACAGAGCAGCGTTCACGTTTGACTTGAAAAACAAAATAAATGCTAAAATAAACTCAAAGTCTTTTAAAAGAATGTATCTAGCTGTCCAAAAACGTTGCTCTTTAATGAAGCGCTTGCTGCTCGGAACCAGAAATGCCTTTAACAATAAGCACGTATTACTATTCTCCCCGCTAAGTATATCTTTTATATATCATAATTAAATAACATCTGTTGCCTAACAATTTCTTTTTTTTTTTTATGACATGCATGACTGTTGAGTTTGTTCTTGGCATTTTATTGTGCATTTGCTGCTGTTATTTTGCCTCTCATATCTAATCCAACCATTTAGTTTTTACTTCGGTAACGCTTTGCTGCAAGAAATGCATATTTTATCCTCTCATCCCATTTCAGCATCATTTTGTCCTAATTTCTGATTTTTTTTTTATTTTATATGCTTATCTCTCATGAGTTATACCCAAAATGTTTTCTACTAAAATATTACTCTTTCCTATCTGCTGCAGGATGTGCGGTGAGCTACGATATATGCAATGTAATATTATGTAAACGCAATCAGCATTTTCAAGGCAGTAAAAAAAAAAAAAAAAAAAAAAAAATGTGACTTTCTCTTAATTTGTCTCTCCACGTCTGGCTGGTAGCCACAGTATGTCACCACAGTGAGCTCGCACACGAGCACTAACGATCAACGTTGAATCAACTTCTGTCACTACGCCTGCAAACAGCAGAATGCGGGGCTAAGTGCAAGTACAGTAAAAGTAAACATGATTCAAGGTTCGTCTATTGTCATTCTACAACACAGGGTTGCACAATAAAATGCAGGTTGTCCCTACACAAGAAAAACAGATTTTAAACGACTTTAAACATGTGAAACTCTTCCTCAGAACCTCTCACCAATGAAAGAAGTGAGGAAGAACTGTTCTTTATTAGTAATGAATGCCTACATGTGGATACCTAAGGGGGCTGATAAAACAATAGGTTTGATTGTTTGCTCATTATTTTACAGGATACATTACTATAAGAGCAAAATGTAAGTGGTAAGTGTATCCATCTCAAACAAACTGATACAGTAAGGGGCTGTTTGTATTGACCAATCCATCCAATGCTCATATTAGTAACAAAACCAGGTCTTAACAGCATCAATCTAAACGGATGGGACACAACGGTGCCAATTTTCATTGTGAATTAAATAAAAATCGAATGGCCAGATTCGTTTTGTCCACAAAGTGACAGAAATATGAACATTTATTTCTTAAATGTAGGCATACACTGCATTAATGCATCACTAACAATAATTCAATGAATAATTGATTAATTATTGAATAAGTAATTGTCCACCTTGGCTCATATGTACACCTGCTTGATATTTAAACGTACTAAAATATCAAAAGTACTTTTTGTTTAGCCCTCAAAAGTTATATTTCTATTTAAAATGAGGATAGAGATAGTTCCAATATATTTAAAATGAGGTATGAACACTGGTGGCCCAACTTCACCCTCCTAACCTCAGGCTTTAGGCCACTTCTGCACTCACTCGTTCTGTAACACTAGAGGCCGCCATGTCCCCTCGCTGCTAACGTGGTGGCGACTACAAAGTCCTAAACAACCTGGCCCCTCCTTACCTTTCAGACCTCCACGCCCCAACCCGTTGCCTCAGGTCCGCCGGTGCAAACATTCTGAAGACCATCAGGACCAAGCGCCGGACCTGGGGTGACGGGGCCTTCTCAGCTGCTGCACCTCCCCTCTGGAACGCCCCCCATCCACATCCGTGAGGCTCCCTCCCTATCAACATTCAAACAAACCCTCAAAACCCACCTCTTCAAACTCGCCTTCACCCGCTAACCCCTGCACCCTACCCTCCATTACATGACCCATTCAGCGCAGCTTCTCCAGTTATTCTTTTTTTTTTTTTTACAAAAATGTTGTTTGTGTTGTTTGCTCCTCTGTCTTTCATTTTTTCTCTTTTGTTTGTGTGTTATGTTTGTCTCTGCCCTGTAAAGCGTCTTTGGGTATTTTGAAAAGCGCTATTTAAAATTGATGTATTATTATTATTATTATTATTATTATTATTATTATTATTATTACCTCCTGAAGCACTGAACCATTTTTGTAACGCGTCAGCTGAGTCAGAGAGGAAAAACGAGCAGCGGGGTCTCACTCTGCTCTGACTTCTGAGTACAAAGAACGTCAACGACAATCTGAGTCAGTGTTGTTGCAATTGTTCCGTTAAAAGGCAAATTCATTCAAATTAGTCCAAATTACCAACAACTTTAAAATACTGATATTTACTGAGCTGGAATGAATTGGGTTGTGAGTGAGTTTACAAATGCAAATGAGACATGGGAAATGTGAACACTGTTGTTAAATCCACTCTGCGGTCGAGGATAAAACAAGGCAGTCCAACAAACAAAAATAAAGTAATGACCGCTGTAGTTTATGTATAACTGATTCATGATCTAAACAAATGTGTAAGTGGTTCTGCCGACGAGTTAAACAGGATATTATCCCATGTTCTTCGCGTCAGGTGTGTCGCTTATGTGGATCAAGTGAGACTCTGTCATTAGACGATCTTTGCGAGCCTCCAGCAGCTATACGTTGGCTGTTGCCATATGGAGGATCCCGTACGCTGATACCTGGACCGCTTTCATCCCAAGAACCAGCGGGGTTTAAACAAGACTGACTGCATTTGAACGACTTAGCACCGATAGACCTACGAACAGGAAGCGCGGAAGGAGCCGAAGCACCGCTTATCGGGCGGTTATCGCTGTTCACCAGCCCGCTAACAGCGCAACATCAGCGTCAGCAGTCGTAGTAACAAACTGACAGGTATGTCTTCGTCCGCCGCGCGCGACACTGTTGTCAAAAAGAAGCACGTTCGTTTCGCCAGCATGGAGGACGACGATGACGATAACGACGACCAGGAGGAGGACACCCTGTTTGACAAGAGGAAGGACACCGCGAGGGGGCTGAAGAGCGTGCTGAAGGCGGTCAAGAGGTCCACGAAGCCGGGATGCGACGACCGGGTGGATGTGGTCGGCGGAGGAAGGGGCGGACATGGAGCGTGCGCTCGCTGGATGGTCACCCTCGCGCTCTGTGCATCTTTCCTGGGCTTGGTACATTCAGCAGCGAATGCTATAACTTGTTAGCTTTTTTTTAAGGAAATTGTTCCATGAAAATGTATCCGTGAGTTTCCTCAGGCCTTCTACTCGTTTAACGCCACCACAATGTGTTTAGATATGAATACTACTCATAACAAACACATGTTAAGCTAACATGACAACGATGTTAGCTTAGTCAGGGTTAGGTTACCTCGCGCTCTTATTCTAGTGGCAATCAGGTAGCATTGCAAACACCTGTTCAAGGAATCAGTTTATAACCTGTGTCCGGAAATAAGGAGTTACAGTCACACACTCTTTAACCATTGTCTGCAAACCCTCGGTTGTGTGTTGCCTGTTTTATACCACAGTTTCAAGTTTCAAGTTATTTTTAATTCTGGCCCCTACTGCATCACGTGCAGCGTTCTGGCCCCATGTGGATCACCTGAATCCACTCTGAAAAATAAAAGACACATGAATGCAAAAGCTGGCTAGAGATACAGTCTGAATGAACCTGCTATCGGTCAACAATAAGCTGTTGCAATGTGCAGGAAGTCGTATATCCAGTCTGCTGCAGGATCCTGGACAGACTGGATTTACATAGTTGCAAAATTGCTCTTCAACCATCTGCCAAGATTAACCATCAGTGCACACCCGAGTGACTGCTTTACTCTTCTGGGCCAATTATTGCTCCATTTACACAGTCGAAAGTAAAAATACACATAGGCTTCACTTGTGTTCAGTGTATATATATATATATATATATATATATATATGTGTATATGTATATATGTATATGTGTGTATGTGTATGTATGTATTATTATTGTCATTTTATTTCAGTTTTCACGTGCAGTAAATGTGCTCTCTCTTTGTAACTCCTGCTGCTCTCTCTTGTTGTTCTCTAGGGGATGAGTATCTCTGTTCTTGGCCCCACATTCGAGGACCTGGCTGTGAATGTGAAGAAGAACATCAGCAATATTTCCTACATCTTCGTCGGCCGCTCCGCGGGCTACATCGGCGGTTCCCTCTTCGGGGGGATTCTCTTCGACTGCTTGAACCCCCACCTCCTGCTGGGTAACCCTTCATCCACACGTAGCTGTTGTAGATGTTGGAGCTGCACATGGTGCTGGTGTAATTTATGATAGCGACGGTGGGGATGTGTCCCGACCACTTTTCTGAAAACCTAAAATTGTCCCCACCGCTTATGTGTTTAAATCAAATATAATTTCCATCGGCTCTCAAAACTCCTTCATGTTTCCAGTGGATGAGAAATTCAATCGAGAGTTTACATTACATTACAGTCATTTAGCAGACGCTTTTATCCAAAGCGACTTACAATAAGTGTATTCAACATAGGTATTCAAGAGAACTACTAGTCACCAGAAGTCATAAGTGCATCTCCTTTTTTAAACAAGCATCTAAGAGCATAAACTAGAGCAAAAGTACAGTGCAGAAACAAACTAATACAATAAGTGCAACAAACTAATATGAATACAATAAGTGCTAAGTGGAAGGCTCAGGGTAGTACTTCTTGAAGAGGTGAGTTTTCAGCCTGATGAAAGATGGGCAGCGACTCTGCTGTCCTGAGGTCAGTGGGGAGTTCATTCCACCACTGTGGGGTCAGGACAGAAAACAGCCGCGACCGGTCGATCGGCCGCAGGGACCTCTGAGCGACGGGGCAACCAGACCAGTCACCCCGAGGCAGCATCGCCCCGACATGCAGCAATATGATTGCTGTAGTGCTTTTTGGATGAGTCAGAAACGCCGCATATCGCTCAGTCAGAGGTGTCCTGGCTACGTGTTTTCTGTCATTTTTATGACTTACTTAATATAATATGACAGTTCTTTCTGACATTTCTATGGCTTCTTCATGGCTTTTTTCCGACATATGACTTTTTAATGTTTTTTTTCAACAAACTATTCTGTGACTTTTTTTCGACATACTATCTGTTTTTTATTATTTTTCTGACATTTTTTCCTGTTTTTTTGTATACTGTATTATGACTTTTTTCGACATACTATACTATGACTTTTTTAGGATTTTTCATGACATAATCTTAAATGACTTAACAGTTTTTAAAATATACTATGCTGTGACTCTTTTATGATATACCATATGACTTTTTATGGTATGCTATACTATGACTTATATTTTATTACTGCATCAAGACTTTTTATGTTAACTATACTGTGACGACTATGCCATTTTAGTCACTTAATATGGAATAACATAGTATGGCATTTTATGACTACATTTCGATCAGGAGAAACTTCATTCGAATTGAACAATATTTATTACACATGCATAAAATATGAATAGTGCAAAGTCTTTGGCGATTGGACTCCATCCTGAAGTAAGATAATAGAGGGGTAGTGATGCTGAGGTCAGATAAGTCCGGGAGGAGGAGGAGGAGGAGGAGGAGGAGGAGGAGGAGCTTGACTGTGATGCTGACTCGAGGTGACTGGGGTGGAGGAGGGTCATATTCGATTTGAGCTGAAATGACAACTGACAGTAATGGAGAGGACGCTTTTTAAAGTTTGACAGCAACGATGTGATTGGCTTTAAGGAAACTGTGCAACATCTGGTTGGTTAACTTATAGTGATATATGAGAGAGAGAGAGACTTCCTGACTGAACTTCCGCTTAAGCTTCATTATGACTTTTTATGGAATACTATAATATGACATTTTCAAATTACATTTTAATTGCATACTATACATTGATATTTTTATGACATTTGAATGGCCTGTTTTGCACTCGGCTATGAAATCTTCAGATATATGGAAAGGGTCTTACTTCACATTTTAAACACATATTCTACTCTTGTTATCTTGCCTTCCAGGTTTCTCTATGCTGGTCACATCCGTTGGAATGTGTGCTATCCCCTTCTGTAAGCAAGCTCTGCTCCTCACTGGGCTCATGTCCAGCATTGGGATGTCGATGGGTATTCTGGATACAGGTAAGACGACACTTAAATACACGAGCTAATGGTACGAGTCTTGCTTTCCTGGAGGGAAGCCTTTTAGCTAGTAGTTAGTATTAGAACATTTATTGAAGAATTATATATGGAGGCTACAATCCTACACACACACTGGTCATCCAGATGCTGTCTGTTTTGATGTTTGAGCCTTATCTACTTTCTGATGAGAACTATGAAGATGACTACCTCCAGCTACTTTTAGCTCCGTTTTTGGTCTCCACCGACTCCTGAGAGAAATGGACCTCTGTAGCTGCTCAATGCACCTGCTGGGGCTGTTAGTGCTCGCTGTAATTGATGCCAGCCTAAAGTAAGCCCCAAACAACCCACTACCAGCTAGCCGTCTTTCTTTCACTCTGTATTTGACTGATAAAGGGCTGTAACTCGTGTTTCTGTAACACACAACCCATTGTTATCTTTCCAGATGAGTTGTTACTTTGAGAGCATCAGTTATTTATTCATACACGCACATTGTTAAAAACCTAATCTCCGATACCCGCTGAGCTCTGTATTTTCATACTTTAGTGAAAACCTTCATTACCTGGAAAAAAAGATTTTCTGAAGAAACAGTGTTTTTGCACAGCGTGCGTCCATGAAAAGTCAACCTTTCAAAGAGAAGGAAAGCATTAAAGGATTATGAGATGTTACGTCACTGCAGGACATCATGCAGAGGCTCCAATGGTGCCACCGCCATATTGTTAATGAAGTGTCAATGTTTTTCTCCTCTCTCCGTCAGGTGGTAATGTCCTCATACTGAACACATGGGGCGACCAGGCGGGTCCTCACATGCAGGCTCTGCACTTCAGCTTCGCAGCCGGGGCCTTCGTGTCTCCGATCATAGCCAAGCTGCTGTTTGGGCCCGACGGCGACGGCAGCACAGGAATCGCACCAACCAACTCCACACCTCCCGTCACCACAGAGCAAATCACCAGTGTCCCCGACGCTCACGTGATCACCCACTACGTCCACAGCACCCTCAAGTCCATGTGGGCCTACGTTGTGATCGGCTCCTACATCTTTCTCATCTCCTTCCTCTTCTTCATCCTCTACTGTCGCTGCGGCGCGTCACGCGACAAAGCCAAGGCCTCGTCAGGAAAGCCCCTGGTGGCCAAACATCACATTGCCCTTATCGCCCTGCTCTGCTGCTTCTTCTTCTTCTACGTAGGCGCTGAGGTGGCGTACGGCTCGTTCATCTTCACCTTCGCCAAGGACTACGCCCACATGCCTCAGTCCCAGGCAGCCGGGCTGAACTCGTTGTTCTGGGCGACGTTCGCTGCCTGCAGGGGGTTGGCCATCTTCTTTGCGGCCTGCATGCACCCGGCCACCATGATCCTGCTCAGCCTGGTGGGCTCCACTGTATCCTCCCTGCTTCTCTGCCTCTTCAGCAAGGAGAAGGTGGCCCTGTGGGTTTGCACCGGTCTGTACGGCGCCTCCATGGCCACCATCTTCCCCAGCGGCATCTCCTGGGTGGAGCAGTACACCACGGTGACGGGCCGCACGGCGGCCGCCTTCGTGGTGGGGGCGGCGCTGGGTGAGATGGTGCTTCCCGCTCTTGTGGGTTTCCTGCTGGGGAAGTTCCACGACCAGCCCCTGCTCATGTACCTGTCGCTCATCACCTCCACCTTCACCTCCATCATCTTCCCAGTCATGTACAAGCTGGCCTCGGCCCCCGGCGGCCAGAGCAGGAAGCCCCGCGTCAGGGGCCGGCCCGACGCAGACGACAGCGAATACCGCCAGGCGCTGCTGGACTCGGGGGCCAACGAGGAGGAAGAAGAGGAGGAGCAAGAGAAGGAGGAGCAGGACCAAGACAATGAGGCCGATCAGTGGAACGACGCAGACTTTGAGGTCATTGAAATGGATGACACAGCAAGTCTCATCAGTTCACCCAGCAAGGCTTCCTCTCCTCCTCCTGGCTCTGGTCTCACAGGGAGCCCTGCTGCCTCCAACACCCAGGTGACGGAGCCCGCAGGTGGAGCCTCTTACTCGGCCACCATCTCCCCGGTTAGAGACTCCCCCAGACGTAAACTACTGCTCTCTCTGGACCGAGAGAAGAGAGACTGACACCTCCTCCTATGGCTCCTACATGCTGTTCATCTCTCACTAAAAACAAGAGTCTCCATGTTTGCGCCCATTCGTTGTCCAGAACCTGAAAATTCCAACATTTATGAACGGTTGATTTACTGTGTACTGAATGAAGCACTGACCGAAACCTGTGCAGCATCCGTGAAAGTTTGGGTCATCAGCATCGTTTGAATCATGATGATGAAGGCTCAGGCTTTAAACTGCACTTCTATGCTACGGATTGTTGGAAATAAAATACGTCATTGATTCCCCACAAGGATTCTATGTTGGCCCGCTTCCCTCCACAGTGAAGTCAGTAAGCTAGTGAATGGGTCCCAGGGCTGGTAGACTTCAGTGCCTTGCTGGAGGACACATGAGATGAACCAGGGACCGTCGCACTCATCTTCCACCCTGCTGCCAAAAACACGTTCTCAAAATGTAAACTCATTTTGCAGTGAGCAGGACATGAGCGTGATGATAGTTGTAAGATTTAAATTAGTTTTGGTTGCACTTTTGTAAAGAAGAGTTTTGTTTGTGTCATGTGTGATGTGTCATCTCTGTGATTCAATAAAAGTTATTTTTAAATTGAATCATTGACAGAATGCATCTTAATACATTTACTTTTTATTATATCAATCTCAAACCTCCACCCACAGCAATGTTCATTAAAAACAAACAAACACCTTCATTATTTTTTTTTACATTTATACAAATACACAGATCCTGTGTACGGCTGTATGGAGCATTGAGGATTGGATCTTGACGTGATTTGATGACAGATTTCTTCTTTTTTTGCTCAGAAAATTGGAATTGTACACAAATCCATATATGCACAGGGAAACGATAGACTCTTCATGACATAAATTATCAAAACACAGTATTGCAACAGTCCCAGATTTTTTGGAAAGACTGAAATTGTTTCCAGTTCCCACACTCAGAAGATAGAGTATGAAGTGTCAAATCTGCCAAAAGGATATCAGTACAATCAAGATGAAAAGAAAGATGGAAAATGGCATCCTCAAACAGAATGCATAAAAACAGATTCGATTGCATTCATGGCCGGAGCTTTAGTATCTTTTTTGTTAATGCTAATGCACAGTGAGATTAAAGATGGAGCTATACAGGAACTATTTACAAAAAAGACTGCAGTCTATATAAAAATGAAGAAAAGTCAGTTGGTGGTGTGAATGTAGTTTTGTCTTTAGAGTTGTAAGGAGCTCCTTTAAAAAAATAAAACAATGAGTTCAAACTGCTACAGCTCATACAGGACTCAACTCATCCTCCTTGACTGGACTGCACTCAGCTCATAGCAGCTAATGGAGATGGCAGCAAACAAGCATGAAGACACACAAGCCCTGGGAGAGGGGGGGGTCAAACCAGACAGTCTGCACACGCAGAAAAATACCATAACGAATAACAGTTACAAGACAGAATGAAAACCCTGACAGGGTTCAATCAAAGCACCATTTAAACTATTACAACTGAGTGGACAATCAAACACACAGAGG